AAAAAAAGCAAATTTGGAGATTATTTAGCCCATTTTACAGAGGAGGGTCAGTGAGATAAAGTGACGTGTCCCAGGTCATTTAGTTATTAAATGGCAGGGCATGAACTTAAACTCAGGTCTTACTGTAAGGCATCCACTATACCATACTGAAACCTCCATTCAATTAAATGGTTCACTCACCTGACTTGATATTGGTGTGTTGAGGGGAGCAGGAACTAGACTGTACAAGTATATTGTAGGATCATAGATTTATGGGAAACTGGGAAGAGAAAACTTAAGTGACTTGTCCAAATTTATACATATTAAATAGATATGGGACCTGAACCCAAGTCTTCTTACTCCAAACCCATTGCTCTTTTCATTATGCCACCCTCTTTCTCAGATGTAGGCTGAAAGGTGGATAGACACTCATCTGTGGAGATTAAGATGGCACCAGCAATTGGTGAATTCCTGGCTACAATTTTGCCTGTTTCTACAAGGGTACTAAACAGGACAAATGACACGGAGAGATCTGTGCCTAGCTTTATATGAAAATTTCACAGATCTATGGGAAAGTTGAAATCTTATTGAGATGACTCAAGTAATAATGTTTTTTGCACAATAATAGGAGTCATTGAAAGAACTGGGGATGTCTGGTCTGGAGAAGAGAAGGTTTAGTGGGAACAAGATAGCTGTGTCCAAATCTTTGAAGGGTTACCTTGTGGAAGATGAATTAGATTTCTCCTGTTTGGTCCCAGCAGTCAAAGCCAGGAGTAGTTGTAAACAGACAAATTTGGTTTCGATGTCGAGAAAAACTTCCTAACAACAACTGTTCTAAACTGGAATAGGTTGCCTTTAGAATTGGTAGATTACTTTTGTTGGAGGTCTTCAGAGGCTGGATGACCATTCATGAGGTGCATTAGGGTATGGGTTTCGTTTAGGTACAGATTATGTTAAATTGTTTTCCAACTCTGAAAATTTGTGATTCTGTGGTCAACTCTTTTAGATAAGGAAAAAAATCCGGGCAGTGTCACCTGGGAGGCAGTTCTTCACTCAGGTTGGTTTGGTGAACACAGAATCTTATTTGGGACGATATCTCCTTCACCTAGGATCAGATGCTACCTGCTCTGTCTTAAAGGGACTCTTAAGCTTTCCTTTCCTTTAAAGAAATTTGGGTCTTCTCTTGCCTCTTACTGATCCAAAGGGATACATTGGAATAGGTTTTTCCCCCTCCTTCTTTTAAAGACATTTTGCTAAGAACCTATTTGTCAACAAGGAATAGAAATGGAATTGAATTGTCCCTTCAAAACTATAGGGAATGTTTAACTCAGACTTAATTCTCCCCAGAACCTGGTGGAATTTAAAGGATGGGAAATAGACATGATGAGAAGGAGTTTCCTTTTGTCAATGGAGACTTAATCCTTTGAGGCTGACTTGGTAAATTCAGACATGGAAAGCTGCCAAGTCCCAGGGGGTAGCATCCCAAACCTGTTTGTGCTCTGGATCCCTTGACCCAGATTTTCCCACCTAATTATGCAAGGGCATCTGCTGAGACCTTTCTCCTTTTTCCACTCCAAATATCTGACCATCCCCAGAGCCATAGGACTATAAGCATTTCTCTGGGTGGTAAAAGTGGGGCACTCATCCTTATTCTCTTCACAGCTCTATTTGATGCTGGGTCCCTGGTCCCTGCTTGATTTCTCTTAACTCCACAGGAACAGTAACCCACTCTCAGCTCATTTCTTTGGCTCCAAGATCATATAGAGTCATAGTATTTTAAAGCTAGAAGAGACTTTAGAGATCATCAAGACCACATTTCTTACAGGAGGAAACTGAGGCTCAGAGAAATCGTAACTTGCCAAGGTCCTGTAGCTAGTTAGTGACAAGCTGGGAAACAGAATATGAGTCTCTAGACTCCAATGCCAGGTTTCTTATGGTTTCATTTCTACTTTAAAACTCTTACTCTGGGTTGCCGTCTAAGCTCAAGCATAAATGCAACACCCTCAATACCATTTTCTATTTCAATTAAAAAATTGTGTTCCCTCGATTCTTAGCTGGTACTTTCACCGACTCTCCAAAGGCTCTTTTAAGATTTCTATTTTGTTCTAACATCCAGGCACTCCCCCATCTGCTCTGGCAATGTTAAAAAATCGTAATTTTTTAAAGTGCTCCCCCTGCCACCTCCAACAACCATTTTATTTCAAGGCTGAATTAGAGAGTGAAGGAGACTAAAATTGATGCTAAACTTAGATTTGATTTACATTCATCATTTGGGGGTACTCTCAAATATTGACATATAGCTGGTGGAAGATGGTTCCCAGATACAGTGTCTGTTGCTATTTCACAAAACTGGAAAAAATTCAATGTGCAACTGTGCCTCAGTTTCTCTTTCCAGAAAAGAACGTACTTAAATTCACAGTGTATGTTGCACATCACATAAGAACACACTGAGATCACTCCAGCTCTGCATAAATGCCAGGTATGGGGTCAAACAGTCCCATCTTCACATTGAATTGGTTTCAGATTTTAACGAGGATCCACTCATTGTCGCCTCCTGCTGGTGCGAAGCCAAAATAAAAGATGGGTGACCCGGGCCATGAAGGCCATAGCAAGCAACCCAGTGTGACATCACAGGCACAGGGTTAGGGGCAGGGGATAAAATCTTCACTGAGGGGGAGGGAGGATAGAGAACATGACAAGCAGCCAAGAAAGTGCCTTTTATAGTCATGTTCTCAGTTCCCTTTTCCTTCCAAGTTTGCTCCCTGCGACAGTGCCACTCTCAGAGCCTCTGATGCTGTGGGTCTGCCTTGGGGTTTGGCTGGTAGGACTCCACACCCCTTCCCCCCCTCCTGCCGGCAAGCTGCATGACCAGCATTGGAATCCACCAGAGGGGGAGAAAAGAAATACATCCAGACATTGTAGCCAGTTGAATCCAGTTCATTTTGCTTCTCCTACTTTCCCTTTTCTTAAGTGGAAGAGGTTGCTTTCCCCCGAGTGTAAATAGTGTGTTGTCTGCTGCAACTCCCCTAACCTCTCTCGTTCCCCGTAATACCATTGCTCTATTTTTCCTCTGCAAACAGATGCCAGCCACTTCCCTGGTGTTCAAAACAAAAATATTTCCCTACTCAACAAGAAGCAGAGACCCTCTTCCACTCCCCCCCCCACCATGAAGGAACCTAGATTTTGGCAGAAGTCCGAAGGCATCACTCAGGAAGGTGTGTCTGGAGAAAAATTGTGCGTGTATTTGGGGATAGGGGCATTCTAGGAACGGACCCCAAAATGTGGGTAGGGAAAACAACCTCTTCGCCCAGGCACCGAGCACAACGCTACGGAAAAGCCGAGCAAATCAAATAGAGCTCTCTGATCTGGTGAGGGGTTTGTGCTTGCCAAAAAATGCGCTATGCATCTCAATTCGCTCTGCTGTTCATCTCACACACTGCTCTCCTGATGCCATTTCTGCCCTCGGAGCACAGTCTTTTCAGCACTCGCTTCTTCCTTCCTTCCTTCTTCGTTACTGTCCACGTATGATCGCGGACTATACATACAGCAAAGGAAGATCTGGGGGCTAGAGAAGTCCCCCTTTCCCGACTGGGAGCCCTCAAGCACACCGCCAGCCAGTCAACCAGTCACAGGCACTGTCCTCTTGCCCATTCCAGCATCAGACCCTCTTTACTATGGACATTGTTATTATTAATAGTAATAACAACTCATCTTGTTCTAAACAAGTCCTTTCACTGGCTCCTGGCTCCCTCCTTGCCCGCCACTTTCCACTCCTCAATTCTCTGGTCTATACAACTAAAAAGCACGATTTCCCCCACCCCTGGCCTTCCCGTCCCCCCTGGAAGCCTTTTGCATCTGCGTCCCTGTTAATTTCACTTCCTTCTTTTGGTCCGGATTGCAGCAAAATTTTGGTGAGCCAGGGCCAAAAAATGAAGCCCATAGAACCCTTCTCCCTCTTTCCTCCTCCCAACCTCTCCTAACTCCCCACCAGCCCCAACCATTGCAATCCCAACTGGAACTTTTCCCCCATCCCGTTTCTGTTTCTCTATGGCTTCGGTCTTCAGCTGAGAAGCCGCCGCCGCAGCTGCTCCTGCTGATAGTGGTGGTGGTGGTAGTGGTGGTGAAGAGAAGCGAAGAGTGAATGGGTGGGTGGGGAGAGTAAAGAAAAGGATAGGAGAGAAAAGGAGAGGAGAGGAAAGGAGAGGAGCGGAAAGGAGAGGAGAGGAAAGGAGAGGAGAGAAGAGGAGAGAGGAGGGGAGGGGAGGGGAGAGAAGAGAAGAGAGGAGAAGGGAGGACTGACTGAGAGAGGGGCGTGGGGAACTGGGGAGGGGTGGGGGGAGATTCCGTTCTCTTGCTGCTCCCAGCAGAGGAGGGGAAGGCGGGTAACTGGGGGTGGAGTGGGGGGGGGGGGGGGGAGGGAGGGAAAGAGGGAGGGAGATGAGGAAGACGGTCCGATAACCCATCCCTTTCGGAAGGCAGCACTTGTCCATTTCTGCTGGCGCGCTGCAAGGCATTCGCTGTTGCTGCTGCGGCTGCAGCTCGGACTGCATCCTCCGCCTCGGCTCCCAGCGTGTGTGTATGTGTATGTGTGTGTGTGTTTTGCAGGTGTGTCAGTTTTAATTCTGCCCAGTAGGTGGGACTTGGTGACTTTAGCACCATTTTTTTTTTTTTTTTTTTTTTTGCCTCCCCATCTTCTGTTGCAATCCTCACAAGTATCAGAGTCAGAGAGAGCGGCTTAATTACCAACCTGGAATCAACAAGGCAGCAAAGGAGACCTAGCCACCATGCATTTCAGACCGCTACTGTAGGGGAATTACCGCGTATCTTCCCGGCGGCCACGATGGTTCCATCCGCTGGAGGATTTTGCATCTGATCACTCGGCGTTCCAAAGGCAGAGTCCCCCCCCCCCCCCTCCCCTCCCCCCTCCCTCACTGTCTTTGTTTCCTTCCCCCCTTCTCCCCCCCCCCCCCTCCTCTCCTCCTCCTCCTCCTCCTCCTCTTTTTTAGAAGCAGCAATCGGAGATGGATGTCTCTCTTTGCCCTACCAAGTGCAGTTTCTGGAGGATTTTTTTGCTGGGAAGCTTCTGGCTGGACTATCTGGGTTCGGTGCTGGCTTGCCCTGCGAACTGTGTCTGCAGTAAGACAGAGATCAATTGCAAGAATCCCGATGATGGGAATCTCTTCCCTCTCTTGGAAGGGCAGGATTCAGGGAACAGCAATGGCAACGCCAGCATCAATATCACGGACATCTCAAGGAATATCACTTCCATGTAAGTCAGTACCCCGGTCCTCTCGCTTAGCTCTCTCCTTCCCTCCGCCCCCCCCACCCCCACCCCTGACTTACAGCTCACAGTAGTGTGTTGTGGTGTGTGTGTGTGTGTGTGTGTGTGTGTGTGTGTGTATGTGTGTGTGTTTTGCCAGCGAAGATGCTAACGCAGTTTGCGTATTTCCAGGTGACTCCAGCCCGGGCTGTGAATGATCTTGTTATTTACTTGGTTTTTCCCAGCTCAGATTGTGATTGCGTCTCTTACAGCACCCCTGCCTGCCCTCTGCCCTCGCCCCCACCCTCATTATCATTCCAAGGAAGAGAATCTAATTTTCTGCCCCCACTAAATAGCAACAGTTTGGCCATGCTTAAGTAGGATAAAGTGAATGAGGTTTATTTAATTCCTCAGCGGTAGCAACAGCAGCAGCAGCGGCTGCTTAAGCTGGGAGGGCAGGAGCCAGACTTCTAGCAGCTCTAGATGAGCCTCAATGTTTAACTGTTTCCTTTTTGGGGGATGAAAGAAGCAGAAAAAAAGCCCGACAATGACAAGCAGACAAGTTTTCAGCTCTCCGGGCTTTTGGAGACTTCAGATGTGGGTAGGGTGTCATTCTTTGGTCACAGGCACAGATACATAGATCTTTACCCTCTCTACCTCCTGATATTTTCCACTCCAGGTCCCCATGTTTTCACCTCACCTTCTTTTCCCACAGGACTCTTCAGGGTACCCACAAATTATCTGCCTTTCAACTATTTTGGTTTTGAGATCCCTTCCAGAGGACTCTGAGACTGGGAGTGTAGGTAGAAAGGGAAAGGGCAGTGTGTGTGTGTGTGTGTGTGTGTAATTTTCATTTGAACATCCTCAATCTGTTTATTTGGAGTATTGAACTTTGAGTGGTATTTGCCTGGTTTAGCTTTATCTGAATCAGACACTTCTGGTTCATATCTGGGGGGCACAGTGGCCTTTTCCCTTTCTTCAAACAGTTTGTGTGAGTGTGTGTGTGGGGGGAGGGTTGGGATAAAGAGAGAGAGGGCAAGAGCAATGAAGCCTATGTTCTCAGTTGGCTTTTTATTTCTGGATCTGATCTGGTGAGGTGAACTCCAATTCTTATTATCATGATGAAAATAGAAATGTGATCATTTAGGGAAATTACTTCTCACTACTCAGATCCTGGAACTCCATACATGGGTGGAAATCTTTTTCCTGATAGCAAATCCAAGAAGGATTTAGACTGAAGTCACAGAGGGTGTTTGGGGGGCAATATGGGGGTTTGTTTTTCAGTCAGTCTTTAACCCTTCCAGATCAGTAAGTGGGCAAGATGCTTTGGGTCTCATCCTTCCTAGAGGTTCTCTTCTGCTTGGTCACAGTGTAATTGCTGCAAAGCCAGTAAAGAATTGCAGCTCTGCTCTCTTAAAAGCCCAGCCTTGTCACCTTCTTTGGCTAATGGTTCCTCCACACATGTAGTCTAGCTGTTCACAGACCTAGGGAATAACATAGCCGAAGAATTGTCCCTGACTCCTGCCCCAGGAAATGAGATTGACCCATATCTGTGTTCTATCCACCCACTCCCATATCCCCTTCCAAACCCAGCTTGAAATGAAAAGAAAAAAACAAGGTTGGCAGGGAGGGAAGAAGGGGAGGGGGCAGGACAAGCAGAATGGATGGAACTTGCTGTTCAGTCCATGGTTTCTCTTCTCTGCCCCTCCCTCCCGTCATGTCACAGGATTCTCAGGATTTGGTGAGGGGGTATAGAAAGGGGCTCCTGAATTGCTTTGATCCTCAGAGGAACTCAGATTTGGGGCCATCTTGGGCAAGGGCGATGATTGGTGCTTCAAACCCTTGGTCCAAGGCTGAAGAGTGGGAGTATTGCATTGTCAAGGGGGCAGGAGAGAATGGACCTCTGGGTAGCTCCATGTCAGCCCTTGGAAGCAGCTGAGATGGCTTTCAGTTTGCTCCCCGAATGTGGGGATGTGTTTATTTGTAGGAAAGCTGCTGGGAGAGATACTATTATGTAGGTTCTTTATATCCAAACAATGCTGTTTACTGCTTTGAAAATGAAAAAAAAAATGCCAATAAAGCAGCCAGGGAGGGAAGAATATCCAGTTGTAAAGGGAGGAGTTGGGTGTTGCAAGTCGGGGTGAAGGATCCTTTTAAAGTTGGAAGACTGAGGATGCTGCTGGAAGAGTTGGTGATGGAAAGGGGACTGGGACATTTGTCATGATTTTTTTCACCTCAGCTTCACAGCCGGATGTCCTGTAGAGTGAGGAGTGGGGAGATGAGGCAGGAACATGAACTATGACAGGGAAGGTAACACAGCTTCAGGGCTTTGCTTGGTCGGAAATCAAAGACCCCTTTCTCCCAAGTCAGTCCTAGCACTCAACTGGGGATCTAACTCAGGACTTGGTTTCTAGGAAAGTGGCATGGGTTGGACTTTCTGTTGGGTTGGCCAGTGGAGGACCATCACGGGTCAACTGGTTTGAAGTCCAGTGAATACTCTGTTAATATTTATTGTTCACTGCCCTGGGGAGGGGCATTGTCCTAAAGAAAATGTTAAAGCTAAGGTAAACATGGGGAACCCAGGTCTGGATAAATGGATAAACCCAGGTCTGGAGTCCTGGAAGGGTTGATAGGGGAAACAGAAATGAGTGGCTTAAAGGAAGGGAAAGGAAAATGCCTGGCAATGTTCTTCCCTGTTTTCCACAGTTTTCAAGCAGGCAAGCTTCTCCAAATCCTATCCTAAGGAAAGGACTTCAGTTGAAGGATGTTGAAGGGGAAAGTCTCCTTATTCTGTGCCTGTGATATTTGACATCCCTAATCTGGAACATATGTATATGTGAGTGGGAGATGGAGCCAAGGGACTTCCAGGCCCCATCCCAGACCCTACACCAGGCCCAAGGTCTTGGTGGTATTTTAGGGATAGAATCTATAAAAGACTTCAAGGATGCTGGATGCCCAATAATTATTGTATTAGTTGTTGATGCTAAAAGGAGTTTCTTTAAGGGTAATGACTTTGATAGAGTTCACTTTGTGTATAGGAAAGAGGCTGAGTCAGAAAGGTCAAATTTGAACTCGGCTTCTGGGTTGGCTTTAAGCTCAGACTTGGAGGAGCCAGTTATGGAAGCCCCAGTGGACAAACTCTTAGCTTCATCTTGTGTTTCTTGACTTGGGGTGAGAGATAGGACCCTCTCTTACAAGGAGCTAGGCCTTGTGAAGAGGGAGGAGAGGAAGGGAGCTTCTAACTCGGGCTTTTAGCAGGCAGAACCAATACCCCAGAGGCTCTTCTCTCTCATGAGCCTGACTTGGGACGGGATGGAAGACATATTCTGTTTCCCCACCAGTATGAACATCCCAAGTTAGGTACAAACCCACCTAATGAAAAGCACCATGACAAGCTCTGGCCATTCAAAGAATCATGGGATCAAAGATATAGAGCTGAAAGGGACCTCAGAGGTCATCTATTTCAACCACCTCTTTTTGTAACTGAGGAAACTAAGACCAGCAGAGGTTAAATGACTTGCTCACTCACTATAGACATCAAGTATGCTGACTCCAGAACCAGTGGTCTTTCAAATAAATCTAGCCATCTCCAGGACTCCATCAAACACTAGGGGCATCACTGTCCAAGGTCCGGTGGTGGATATTCCTCCCTGCCCTAAGGAAACCAGAAAGAGACCCTGCTATTATGGTATTCTTGGCATCTTTGGGTCTAAACAGTTAATATCTCCCTTTCCCTCACAAACTTGAGCTCTCAATTGACTAATTCCACACTTGGCAGGATGAATATGCTCTGTTCTTCCATTTTCATCTCCTGGTACCACAAAAGCAAGAGTGTTTGGCACATGGAGGATGATGTCTGGACTAGCTCCCGTAGGCCCCATCCCTTATCCAGTCTTGGGTTTGAATGGTATACTCTTATGGTCCCTAGGAGCCTAAGAGTGAAATGGAAGGTATTCTTGACTTCATACTAGGCATACATCTGCCATGTCATGCTGGCATTCTGAGAGATGTGCTGCCTTTGGCCATCAGGGACCATGTGTAATCCTATGGTGTTGGGAGAGTAGGCATATCCCACACACATAGCCACCCCAGCAGCTCAGATTGGATACTGTAATTCCCAAACTGGGACCCATGCTCCATTCCCTACCCACTAACAGGGTCCATCCCCTAGAGTTTGGCAGCTGTGGGTCTGTTGCCTGTCTGCTCCCTCTGGCTTCCTGCACACTTAGCTCATGTCATCTGTTGGCTGTGTGAATGCTCATTTAGAATCTAACAAAAGGCCTGGCTATTGAGCATCCTGCCCTGCCCAGTTCTTTGCCTCCTATTCTCCCTTAAGAGTTAAGGAAGCCGCAGCTGTGGCTACCAGAAGAGAGAGCTGATGTCTGGGGGAGAATTGGGAAGTAAATGAACCAGGCCAAAGGAGAGCTACATCTTAGCCTGGGGAGAAGAGAGACTGGAGCCTAGGAAACAGAAGGAGATCTGAACCACCGCCTAAGTGAAGGATCATGTGGGTGTTGGTGTTTGTGGGTCACTCATGGGAGCTGCTTTCATTGTCCTGGAAGATATAAAGAGTTAAAAGCTATCAGCATGTCTCCGTTTTAGAGGTGCCTCGTGGTGTCCCTTTGTTGAAGGCTGGAGTCCCTGGGGTCCCAGTGGCTGGGAAGTGATTCTAGAAGCAGAAATCGATATAGGCCTCTTTGGTTCTCTGTTCTCTCTATTCCGTGATCAAGAACTGCCAGTGTGGGACTGCCAGGCCTTTGGCTTTGGAATTTGGGGGCCATTCTTGTGGGCTTGAGTTTCCAGCTATCTTAGGGCCAGCAGGCCATTCCTGGGGAGGCTCTCTGAAGGCTTGCTTGCTTCTTGACTCTGCCAGCTCTGTGGGAGCTCAGTGGAGAGCAGCTGGATGAAACCAGTACAGCCTGGTCTTGGCTTTGATGCGGCCTCTTCACTCTCCCATGGCAATGCTGCTGGCCCAACTTTAGGCCTTAGAAACCAGAAATCAAACTGTT